TAGGGGAAAGGAATAGTGGAATCATTACTGCATAAATTTGCCAACGTGTTGCAGAGTCCTTCCTCCTGGGAGCCTAGCTTTTTCTTCAGTCAACAGCAGGGAATATATCATGGTACTTTTATTAAGACCTTGGTACAAGCTCTGGAATTTCATTACCTCTCTTGACCTTATCCACACCTATTTTCCCCTTCACTCACTGTGCTCTAGTCACACTGGCCTCATGTCATTACTTGCATACTAAGCTTGTTCCCTCTACTTGGAGCATTCCTTCCCTAAATGGCTTATTTCTTAGTTATATTAAGTTCTTTGCTCAAATTTTACTTTCTTAGGTGTTGCTTGATCACTTCTATCAAACATAATTCCACTCTTATCCATCACTCTGTTTCCTCTTTGGTTTTCTTCATAGATCTTACTGCTTTATCATTATCTGCTCATTTATCCGTCACTCTCCATGAAATCCATTGGAGCACATTTTTCTCCTGCCTTGTTTACTGCTATTTCCTGTGTCTTTAGAACAGTATGTAGCATGTAGTAGGCTCTCAATTAGTATTTGTTGAATGAAGGAATACTGTATTTTGAGAAAATTGAGAATATTTCATGTGAAAAAAATACTAGCTTATTTTTCCCTATGTCATATAATATATGTAATATTTATCTGTTGATTTATAAGTTTTGGGGCATATATAATTTAATAAAACTGGTATATTGAAATTAATGAGCAGTGTAACATGTTTAAATGAAAACTGAAACTACCTAATAACTGATAAATGAAATTAATAACATGTAACTATATTTACACAACTATGTGTGAGCAAAAAAATGACAGGGAAAAGGAACACAATTACTGTATAAAGTTATTTAGTGAAAGTACTGTGGACTTTTGAAGAGCTGACTACTTCATAAATTAATTTAGCCTCTTTTTGAAGAAAAAGCTGTTGATTTTTACCAAAAGTGAAGACTTGGACTTTTGAAATCAGATAAGTGCATGTGGCCTTGGATTAAATAACCTTTTTATACCACACAATTTCACAAGTATAAAATGAATCAGTTTTAGAAGAACCAACCTCATAGACTTGTAAGTGCTTATTAAATGAGATTAAGTATGTAAAGTGCTAAGCATATATCTGGCACATAATAAACACATAAAAAGCTGTCATCATTGTCTTCTCATTATTTAGAAGTATTTCACGTACTCAGATTTCTAAGTAACTATAACATAACTTCTTTGAGTCATTTTTACCAATTTATATATGTAAATTAAGAATTGTTAGACATGCCAGCTCTTCTGTCTCAATGGAAGTGAGGTAGACTAGAGGTATGATTATCTAAATAATGATATGTTTGCTAAATGAGTTAATTGTATTTCTGAGGGCCAAAGTTTTTACTTTGCAGGATATCTCACCCATCCTTAGGATTTAACTTTCAAACATGTCAACATATGGATGAATTGAACTTTTTACTTTTTACTATTTTTTTTTACAGTTATTACAAAGTATTGGTTAAATTCCCTGTGTTGTACATCCTTGTTGCCTACCTTACACCAAATGGTTTGTACCTCCCACTCTCCCACTCCTATATTCCGCCCCCTACCCTGTAACCACTAGTTTGTTCTCTGTGTTTGTGAGTCTGCTTCTTTTTTGTTACATTCACCAGTTTGTAGTATTTTTTAGATTCCACATATAAGTGGTATTTTGTCTGACTTATTTCACTTAGCATAATGCCCTCCAACTCCATCCATGTTGCACATGGTAAAATTTTGTTCTTCTTTGTAGCTCGATAGTATGCCATTGTGTGTGTGTGTGTGTGTGTGTACTGCATCTTCTTTATCCATTCATCTGTTGAAGGACACTTGGGTTGCTTCTATCTCTTTGCAATTGTAAATAATGTTGCTGTGAACATTGGGGTGTATCTTTTCAAATTAGTATTTTTGTTTTTGTTTTTGGATATATACCCAGGAATGGAATGGCTGGATCATATGGTAGTTCTCTTTTTAGTTTTTTGAGAAACCACTATACTGTTTTCCACAATGGCTGCACCAATTTACATTCCCACCAGCAGTGTATGAGGGTACCCTTTTCTCCACATCCTCACCAATATTTGCTTTTTGTGTTCTTTTTGATGCTAGCCATTCTGTATGAAGTGTGAGGTGATATCATATTGTAGTTTTGATTTGCATTTCTCTAATTAGTGATGTTGAGCATCTTTACATGAGCCTATTAGCCATCTGCATTTCCTCTTTGGAAAAATGTCTAGTTCTGCCCATTTTTTAATTGGGCAAATTTTTTTTAAGTAGCTAGCAGTCTTGTTTACTTTTCATGCCTTGATCATATCAGATAGCTATATTTCCTATAATAGAAATCTTTTGAGAGAAACTCATTAACATAACTGCTATTTTTCAGTTATTTTACCACTATGAAAGAGCCTTTTATAGTAAAATATAAAAAGTCTTTGAAATTTTTAAACACCTACTTATATTGTTTTGTGTTCTTGCTACTTGATGTTTACTTTTTTAGCAATTAGTGATATTAACAGTCATAAAAGCTGTATGGTTTTCTTATAAAATATGTACCAGTTTGAAAGTTGATAATGGATTTTATGTACAGATAGGCAGGTAACAGTTTACCCATTTCTGATAACATTGACTTGCATTACTGATGTGTCATATGACTTGAGTGTTTATAAATACAAGTAGAAATTTTAAAAGACAAAATTGATGATGTGTATATGCCTTTGTGTGTCAGTTTTCACATTTTTAGCTCTACCTCTTATGTCTACCATCTAACTTTAGGCACAAAGAACTATTTGTAGTTTTCCAAAGTTGCCATTAGGTTTCATATAGCAGTGGAAACAGTGATTTAAAATCTTAGCTCTGCTATTTACAACTTGTGTTATCTTGGGCAAGTAATTAATCTTTTTAAACCTCAGTTTCCTCATTATAAACTGGGAATAGAATAGGACTTTGGTCTTATTGAAAGTAATGAATGAAAAAATGCGTTTAAAGTGTTTATGTGAAATATTATTCTTGTTGGTATTCCTCTTCTTATTCTGATAGTAATTGTTACTCAGTCTGAAATTCATCGTCTCAGTCCTCCTCTCACATCAGACTGATAAACCATTCTCTCAAGTTCCAATTGATGATGATGATGATAGAAGGACAGGTTGTCATCTATTGGTTTTAACTGTCAACTCTCTCTGCATCCTTCCATATGTGGTCCTTGTGATCTAGTCCATACTTACTTTGCAGTTCCTCAGTAATGCATTAAATTCTATCTTCTCTTTGTAAAGGTCTGGAAAACTCTTTGTTCCATTTTTGTCTGGCTGACTTTTCTTTCTTCTGGTTTCAGCTTAAGTGTTTTATCTTCATAAAGTTAGACTGTTGCAGCACCCACTTCTTGCCAATCTTCAATCCCTTACCATTTTCCCATCATCTCTGTTGCTGTTATATATTCTTCAAGCATTCAGTACTTTTCTTTCTCTCACATTTATCACAATTGTAATTAGTTATTTCTGTAATTACTTGTTTGATGTTGGCATCTTTACATAGAAGATCAATTCTGTGAGGCCTTGCATGGACCTATGTATTGAATTCATATCTGTTTTCTTAATGCCTACAGCAGTGCCCAGTACAGAGTAGTTGTTCAATAAACTTTACAGTTTACAGTTTAAAAAACAGTTAATTGCTGAACTAATGAATATCCCATTTCCATTGCTCAACTATTTATTGAGTTAACAACTAACTCAACAATGTTAATACTGAAGTTTGTGCACATATTTTAAATTTTACTTATCACATACTGTTGCATTCTTTAGATATTTTTCCCTGTTCAGGCTATTAGTTTCTCAAGGGTGCAGTGTGTATTTTATACATCTTTTCATTCCAAAGCCTAGCAAAGTGCTTGACACTGAAAATTTTACTGTTCACTGAATGTTTATCAATGAAAATATGTTTTTAAAGTATGATTAACAAGTAGAAAATTTTATGGATGCAAGATTTTAAACTGGTACCAGATGCTACCAGTTTAAGTTACATGCTAAATGGAAGGCAATAAATATATCATATCTATTTGCATGAAAGAGGATAATACGGAAAATATTTAAATCAGTGTGTATTAGTCTAAAAAATGCATTATCAGCTAATGGTAAACACTTGAATGTTTATTTTCTTGATTGGGCTTCCACTCTTAATATTATTTTTTTACTATTTTTTTCTGAGAAAATTTAGAAAAAATTATCCTTTTAAAAAATCAGATACTATATGTTAGCATTTTTTCTCATTCCATTAAATTTTTTTACAACATGATTTTAACAGGAACATAATTTTTCATCTTATAAGTTTCATAATTTTTCAATAATGACTGTTGAATATTTATGTAAATACTTTTTCAGTGTTATATATAATATTACAAAAATTTTGTGTTCATATCTGCTTTTCTTTTAGAATTTTAAAAGTAGAATTACTGGGTTAAAGGGTATGAGCATTTGTAGTACTATTGATGTTACCGAACTGTTACCTATTGTTCTGCAAAAATAATGTGCCTGTTAATATTTTTAACAATAATGAGAGTTTGAGTTTCAGCTTACCCACTCCTGTATTATTACATAATATAATTAAGAAGAAAAAAAACCTTTTGTCAGTTTGTGAGGCAAAAAAAAAAAAGTGATAACTTGACCTTATTTGATTACTCGTGAGGCTGTATGTATTTCATGTTTCTTGGCCATTTGTATTTCTTCTATGAACTGTTTGTATCCTTTGCTCATTTTTCCATTGGGATACTTCTGCTCATAATACTGCTTTAATATTTTAATATCCTAATTTTCATTAAGTAATTTGTTTATTGAAGTTTTTTCAATTGAAAAAACGTATATTTTAATAATATAGATACATTTAAATGGTAATTCCATTTCGTTTTAAGTTCTCACATAGTATAATCTGTTTAATTTGTGTAAGTAGTGTTATCAACTATGAAACTTTTAAAAAGAATACTTATTTTGTAAACTAGGAGCCTTTTGTGGCAGATGAGTATATTGAACGTCTTGTATGGAGAACCCCAGGAGGAGGCTCTAGAGGGGGACCTGAAGCTTTTGATCCTAAAAGGTGAAGTAAAAAAAAATTTTTTCATACACCAATCTAGTACCAATTTGTGTCTGAAATAGAGGTGACTGTTGAAATTCCTTTCTACACTCATGTAAAGGGAGTTAACAACTGGCCAATAAAAGGAAGAAGTATTAGAAATTTGGTATTTATTTTTTCCTTGTATATTTCTTTTATCGTAGAGAAGGACTTTAAGTGATATAGAAGAAGAGATTTTATTGCATTATAAGAATTTAATATTTTCTCTAGTTAGTAATAAATTAGAAAGGGTTGGTTATACCTCTAAAATAAGACATGTTGAATATGTTGCTTCAAGTATAGTTGTAAATTGGGGGAACAGAACTTCACAGTACCCTGGAATGCACAGTGTTACTTTTATATAGTACATTTTACCTTTTTGATTATTTCTGTAAAATTGATTTCTATTCTGGTGGTTAATGGAGATTGCAGGTAATGTTTTCATTTAAGTCAGAAATAATCCCTAATAAGATGCTATGGAGGAAATTAACAGAGTCATCCCTACCTCCAGGAATGCTCATTAATACTTCATTTACAGTTATAAATGAACTAACCTGTTCCTAATGATCAATTATAGATGGATTGATACATATTCTAATTTTCCCCTGTTAGATTATTAGAAGAATTTGTAAATCATATTCAGGAACTCCAGATAATGGATGAAAGGATTCAAAGGAAAGTAGAGAAACTGGAGCAACAGTGTCAGAAAGAAGCTAAGGAATTTGCCAGGAAGGTACAAGAGCTTCAGAAAAGCAATCAGGTAAACATTTAGCTAAATAATAAATAGTTTATATAGGCTGTAATATTTTTATTTCCTTTCAGTTTTAAGTTCCTAAAAAAGTCTAGTCAAATTACAGTAACTGTTAAGGTTTCTTTATACTGCTCCCATGTCATGGGATAAAAATGTTAGTGAATGGTTATCCAGCATTCTTGGTACACTTGCTTGCTACTGAGTGTTGGTTTGGGATCACAGTATACTCCCTTCTTAGGATGGGGTGGTATCCAGTAGAGTGTGGTCCTTGCATCCCCTCTAACAATGCAGACTCTTTAAGAGTGACACTTGAGCAGACCTGTATTTTTAGGGGCTCATGATTAGCTTGGATATTTAGCTAGTTATTTTCATTCTCATTTAATCATAAAGCAAAGTAATATTACCAGATCAACTATTACCTGGATCAGGTTTTTCCCTAGAGGAAACCTGGCCTGAGAAGTTTCACAAAAGTCATGAGGTGTGTGTCCTCAGGAGAATTCTGGTGGAACTGGTTAAAGTGTATGCAGAACTCTTCCTCAGTCCATTTTGGAGTAAAACTAGATCACCAGACTGACTCTGGGGTAAGTAGGCCAACCTTCTTAGCCATTTTAAGCCCTAGACTTGATCTGGAACCACTGACCCTCTTTCACAACCTAGGCCTGGTATGGAACTTGAATGCCATTTTTAACTGTAGTTAGAGGACCTGTTTATCATTACTGCCTCCCAGGGCCTGGTTGTTGTTTAATGTTACGAATTAGCAAGATGGTTTCTGCTTAAATTTCATTTATTTAGTTAGATTCCTTCACTTAAGTATATATGACAATTAAAAAGTATTTAATAAAGTCAGTAGTTTACCTAGGATAGAAAATATGTTTTTAAGTAATTAAGGTGATAGATTCCAAACACTTCTAATGCAGATTCCCCTTGGTAATAATAATAGTATTAATAGTTAATCTAAAAAAGCTCTGGACCCAGTCTGCTGTGCCACTTGAGCTGTCATCTCAAGCAGTTTAACCTCTGTGCCTCAGTTTTTTATCTATAAAAAAGGTTGTTGTAACGATTAAATAAGTAAAACATGTAATATGCTTATAGTAGTGCCTAGCACAGAGGAAATCTTTAGTGTATGTTTGCAGCTCCCCCATTCCCCAGTTTAAGGTTAGAACAAAAGTAATATACTGAATTATCAGCAGTTTTGTTATCGACAATTCCAAGGCATTCATTGTACATAATTTTCACCTATTCCAGAACAATCAGGTACCCTGGGAAAAGAGGAAGAATATTCTAGGAAGCATGTACCTTTACCTCAGCAGAATAATTGTTAAAGTCTTTCCTGTTTTCAAAATGGGACAAGAATCATTTTACCTTATTTATAATATAAGAATTACTCTTTAAATATTTAAAATAAATGTTGCTCTATTTTTAATCAGTGTCTGTTACATATTTTGACAGTGTCTGTTACATTTTAGTGTAGTAGAAAGCAAGTTGTTCAGATGCCTAATCCCTTTGATACTTAAATTTATTGTTTTCAGAATCATTACTTAGGACTAAATGGTATTAGGAACTTTGTTAGGAAGGCTAGTAAGTAGGTAGCTTGCTGTTTTGTTGATTAATAAATGTATTCACAATAAAATATGATTCTTTTCCTAGTTAAAGATATAAAAGTCTGCAACTTGGTTAAAAAACTTTTAGATCATGTGGCATGAATTGTTTTTCTAGATCATCTCGCATGCAATGCTTTATATTATCTTTAGTTACCTAAGTTAGAGGGTAGTGATGAGATTGGCAGTTTAGTTTTGAAACAAATTAACTTGTAGACTAGGTTTTCTGACTTTATTTTATGCTTGTATACATTTTTCCTAGGTTGCCTTCCAACATTTCCAAGAACTGGATGAGCACATCAGCTATGTAGCAACCAAGGTCTGTCACCTTGGAGACCAGTTGGAGGGGGTAAACACACCCAGACAACGGGCAGTAGAGGCTCAGAAACTGATGAAATACTTTAATGAGTTTCTAGATGGAGAATTGAAATCTGATGTTTTTACAAATTCTGAAAAGGTGAGCACTGTCAAAAGGATAAAAGCAAATTATAGCATTAATAACAATGCCTTAATTATGAACTATAATTATTACTTTCCAGAGTTAGACCTCAAATCACTGCGTAGCTGACGTATTAAAAGTTTTTATTCTGAAATCTACACTTGCCTACGGATTGCTGATGAAATATTTATATTTGAATTTTTTATTGGATTGTCCAGCATTTTTGTTTATGAAATTATATATGGTTTAGTAATGTTGAGTTAACTGTTAATAAGTATTTATTTTTCATAATTGACTTTTAATATTAACAGAATTTAGTAGTTACATTCCATTGGGTGAGGGGGTGGTCTGACTTTAATAATTGATAAGCTGAAGTATCTTTCTGTGCAAGGAATTTAGAGCTTCTAGTTTTTATTACTTGAATAAAGATCTCTTACAGAGAATTAAAGCATAGTTTGGACCAAAGAGAATGAAAAATCTGAATTAATTGTTTATGTTAATCTTTTTCATAGCACTAGTCACTTAATCCTTGTCTAAGTATGCATGGTATTGGCTGCTCTACAATCTTGAAAGAAGGTTATTCAGCTCAACTTTCTTCCCCTCAGAGGAAAAATCAAAATGCATGAAAAAATACATTCTTATGGATAGCATATGCACATAGTAACCTTATCTACTAATGTGTTGAAAGCATCCTTGCAGAATTATTTCAAGTTTACTCTATGGGATATCTCAGACAGTGGAATGTTAAAAGCTAAGTATTATTGAAGTTTACCTTGAATTAGGCAGCACATTTTTCGCTAAGTAGAAACTATATATAGGCTTCTAGAATTTATAGTTTTATCTTTGAAAAAAAAATGGTCACATATGTATAGATAATTCCTCTAAAGAAAAGACAATATTTTAAAGAGTAAGTTTCAGGAATTTGTAATAGAAAGTAGAACTGATAAGATTAACATTAAGAACATTATCATACTTAATGTTCGTAAAACACTGGCAATACCTAGCTTTTATACAGTTACGTGATTGTTATGTGTAAGAGTATACATACACACACACGGGGCTTGAACACTGAACTGTCTTTTAGGATAATCTATAGAATGCTTTCCTAAATATAAATATACATATTTGTAATATAAAGTATATATTTAAACATAGTATAAAAATACTCTTTTTTTATATATATTTTTATATTTTTTTTATATATAAAAAATTATATATAATTCAAGTCGTATATCTTGAGTTACCTTGGATTATACCTGTTGAATAGTGTATTTATGCTCTGTTATAAGCAAAATGCGGATATTTTTACCCAATGTGAGTTGGTCTGTTTATTTGATGCAGCTCAAGGTAGCCATTTAAAATCTAGAGAAAAATAAATATTTAGAAATTGACTGATTACACTTATTCTAACCTGATTTGTATTGTTTGCAATGTTTTGCATAATGAAATTATGTTCTTTACACTTTCTTTAAACATTTTGATTATCCTCAAGTAACTGTGTAGTTCTTGGGGTTACTGTTTCTTAATTTTTAAGATTTTGATTGAAAGAAAAGAATCTTTATATTCTTGCTAGTTCATTCACTCAGTCACTAGCCATCTAATTTTTGAAGAGTAAGTATAGACTAATAGTGTTTAAGCGAATTCTTATTTTCTCTCCTCTGCTTCTCTCTCTTCCATATAACATTTTCTTTCATCTTGTATATTACTGTTTTCCTATACAATTTCTGCACTCTGTGCCAGCCACCTTCTCAATGGAAAGAAAAGGAAAATCACCCATATAGCTAGGGGGGTGTGGGGTTGTGGAAAGAATTAGAATGGGATAAATATCAGCACATCTTATTCCTTTTTTCTTCCTGCTCTATAGTCATTTTTGGTTTTTTTAATCTTTGCTTTTCAGAATCTTTTAGTTTTCTTCTCTGAAAAAAAACCTTTTTCATGTCCATAGTGTATATTCCCTCTTACCTCTGTCATTGTGAAGTATGTTAGTTGTTTTTTCCTTAGAATCACAGCTTATTGTTCTTCATGTAGATAATGCCTGATGGCCCTGATTATCTTTAATACTGTTAGCATGGGTAGTCTCTCACTTCACCCTAACACCAATAACAGCAAATTACTAGATTGTAGTTTTGAAAGCTTTTGTACTCACAGTATATTTTAACTGATGGATGACTTAAGAGATACTTTTGCTTGAAACAGTTTTTACAATACGTGGAAATTCCATAAAATCAAGTGTTATTCATCGCTGTGCTTCTTACTACATTAAGTGAATATAAACACTGCATAATGAGGACTTCTGTCTCTTAAAGAAGAACAAACTCCTGATGGAAGCATAAGGCATGTACCAAGCAGGTTCTTTCTGAAGGGGGATATTGGTGAGGAGAAAAGGATGGGCATTGCTAGTATAACTAAATGGCATGTTGAAAAGTGATACAGTGGTATCTGTGGCCACATGCAACAGGATAGAGTGAGTGTTTGGTAACTGAAAATGACAGTGACATGCTAACTAGGAGAGAAGAGATAACTGAAGCAGAAATGCTATCTATATTCACTATCATTTGGCAACAACGATGTTGTTTGGCCCTGCTTTTGTTTTCCATAGTTGCTTGCCAGACTTCACTGAATACTCAGAAAGATCTATGTTAATGTTCTCAGATCTTTCTTCATGTTTGTAAGAGTCTCTCTTTTTTAGTGTAGAAGAAAGTTAATGACCATAAAATCATTTACTGAAGATGTGCCAAAATATACTCAGTACTTACTTGAAATGTGTTTTAAAAAATTAAGCATTATGTGACTCCCCTATACATTAGTGTGAATAAGCATAAGTATCTGCATTTAAAAAATTTTAGACCCCTTGCCTTAATCATTTAGTTTCACAACTTGAATAAGTAACACATTTCGGTACCATATTTCATTGAAGAGACTTCATATTAAACTTTACTTTCAGGACAAGTTTTATAACTTAATATGTTCATTAAATGACAGACATTTTTGTTATTTTAGTCACTTAAAGTGGAATTTGTGCAGCAGTGTGGTCTGAATTATTTTTGTAAATCTTGTTTATCCTCTCATAGACTCAGAAGATCTTAAACTTGCTTTCAGCAATTGATGATTTGAATTTTTTCAGGGTAAACTTGAACTGCAGGTTTCATTGAGAAGAAATTGTGGCACTATAAAATCACAAGATTTCAGTATCATAAAGACAAATGTTTATATTTTATTGACTCCTTGGTGATACCCCGGATGTATTTCTGTTGTTCACAAGATTTTATTTGTCGTGTTTTTTAAAAGAAAATTATTTGGGTGAGGGTCTATGGGTATACATAGGAGGAGTATGTTACTATCTTCAAATATAAAATGATTTTTTGACATGTATAAGGATTTTTTTAATTATTGCTTTTATTTTTTTAATAGATAAAGGAGGCAGCAGATATCATTCAGAAGTTGCACCTTATCGCCCAAGAGTTACCTTTTGATAGGTAAGTTTATTTTTCAAGAGCTAATTGGGTATATGGTGTAATTTGTAGTATAAAATTGTACTGTTGCCTGTATGATTTTGCTTATTAATTCAATAAGAACTTATTGAACACTGCCTTTCTACAAGATTCAGTATGTAGTTGATTGAAAAAATAAGCTCTCATTAATTTAATGATGTATCTTGAAATAATTTCAATCCTTTGTTTTTCTTTTGAAAAAAATAATGGAGAATTTTGAAATTGACTAGAGTGAGATTTTGCATTTTCATTTTTTGAATTTTGATAAATAGGGTGGGAAGAGACAGAGAACATTTAAACATGGAACTCTTGAGCTGCTTTCTTCTGTCTCTTGATGAGAGTTCTTAAGCTTTTGAACCTTTGAAAAAAGCTGGTGAAACCTATGCAGTTTCTTTAAAAAAGAATTTAGGTACACAGACTGTTGTATAAATTTCATGGAGTTTTAGACCCTTTAACCCATCCAGAGGCTTCTTCCTAGGGACTTCCGGTTAATAACCTCTGCTTTAGATGCAAGGCCCTTGAGCCATTGATGAGTCAGCTATTAATGGTTTCATCCTAAAAGAAACTTCATTGAGAAGGAAATTCTTTCATGATTTCCTTTAGTCCGTGGAATGTCACATTCTTTAATAAAATCTTGTTAATAGTGGTTCACCCATTTGAGTATCTGAAAAAAAGTCTTCCTTTAAAACAGACAATATATATTATTTTTTTGCTAGTACTTGAAGATCCCAAGGTACAGATAGAATATAAATGTATTGCTATACTTCAATCTTGACCATTATATCCCAAACACAGAGTGAAAGTGAATTCCCTACCTCCAAAATATCTTAATTTTATTCTCCTTTGTATCATCATAATGGATTAGTGTAATAATCATCTATCATTTAGCTTTTAAAATAATGTCATACTTGCCCAGCATTACGAGTAATCATTTTTAATGTCACTTACAGGAAACGCCTCTTTAACTCAGTTTTTATTTTATTCCCTCTTTTTCTCCCACAACTAATGAACCTCATTGGTTTTTTTCCTTTCAGATTTTCAGAAGTAAAATCCAAAATTGCAAGTAAGTGGAATTCTATTTATTTAACGGTTTTGAATAGGCAATAAAATTACTTGTATAAAAGAAAAAAAATAATTTAAAAAGAGAGGTAGTGGGACAGTGTCATCCTCCTACCTCATCCCTGAGTTTTGATTCCTCTTCCTTGAAACAACTGTTATCAGTTTCTTGGGTATTCTTCCAGAGTATTCTGTGGCTGTACAAGCATAGGACATAAATCATGTATGTATGTGTAGAATTTAGTTCTACTGTTCCCATTTATTTTAAAATAATTGGGGGCATACTATACAAATAGCTTGATATCTTGTGTTTTTAATTTAATAATGTATCTTGAAGATTGTAGTCATGCATATATTTCTAATGTAGTTTCTTTTTTTGTTTGTTCTGTTTATTTTTCTTTATTTTTATTATTGATTCTTTTAATTTACAGTGTTGTATAGTTTCTGGTATACAGCACAGGGATTCAGTTATACATATTCTTTTTCATTATACTGTAATTTCTTTTTTTCTTAAAACTAAGCTCATGAGCATTGCATGATTAGTTTAATACTTACCAATCTTTGGATTATATTTTAAGCAGATCATTCTAGATTTTTGGAAAAGCCACTATATTTGCAGTCTCACATGGTAGTCTTAGTCACTGTTTGGGAGGCGATTGCATAGAAGTTCAAAGACCACCTATTTTCCCAAAAGTGTACTGTAGTATCCTCAGGAATGTAGTGAATCAAATACCACTTGTTGTCTTAAGATGTAATTTGGTGTTGAGTCCACCACTGTTCATGGTAGAAGCATCTATCTGAACTCTAGTGAATAGTTTCATAGTTCTCCCCACTCTTTCCATAGTTTCAGGTTTAAAATTTGACCTATCTCTTGCTATTAGAAATGGTATCCAGAAGGTTTTCCCCAGTCAACTGCTTTTTTACATAACGGTAGTAAATGGCAGTTAGACTATAGAGGCTCACCTTTTATACCATTTGGAAAGACATTTTTGTCTTAAAAATATAGCTTTATATTACCACAGTATGTTCTAGGGTTTAGAACCACTGCCTGTAATCTCATATGGTTTTTGCAATTCTTTCAAAAGAAGGTTAGATCCATACTCATTATTTTTGTAAATAATTCATATACTTATCTTTGATATCTTATCTGTCTCATTGTAGCTGAATGACTTTCTATTTTTAGGCAAATACCATGATTTAGAATGCCAACTTATTCAAGAGTTTACCAGTGCTCAAAGACGAGGTGAAATCTCCAGAATGAGAGAAGTAGCAGCAGTTTTACTTCATTTTAAGGTAAATAGTAAAAATTAAAAATGCAGATTAGTCTTTAATAATGTGGATATTATATGAATTCTGTATATTATAGCCTCTGATTTTCCTCTGTTGTATGAGTATATCATAGTGGTAATTTTCATTGTTTGGGATGATTTTAATGTACGTTTTGTGTCTCTCCAGAAATGGTGTTAAATTTTAGATATTTAATATTACTTAAATAAGGATCTTATATTCAATAATACTAATATTTTATCACTGAATTTTCATATAGTTTGACATAGAAAATCATATTATCTGCCTCCTTGGTATTTAATATATTTTTTTGTTTTAGGCAAACATTTTATAAGTCAGAAGCAAGATGGCTTGACATTAAGTATCTGTTGGATTACAGGAACCAGAGAGTAGATGGAATATAACTAGTAAAGAGTTAAATTCAGAGGCTCTCAGGTAGTAATACAAAGGAATACTGTAGTATGAAACTTTTCCTGGAATTTGAATTAGCAGGCGACTTCGTGTATGACAGTGTATTTCTGCAAAAAGTGCTGAAAGAAATAGTGCTCCTTTGGTCTGTTTCTTTATATCAAAATAAGGAAATAGAAGCTGTTTTCTGGACCTTTCATTTAAGTAACATATCTGAGTGAATATTGAATAGAATGGCTCTTGAGATAATAGTGTACTTCGTATTTCTTACCTGCTTTTGTGTATCATTTTGTTAATAGGCAAAGATCTCATTATAGTGAGCTTATTATGATAGCTTATTTTGTTTAAACACATTCTATTAAAATGGATTTGATTTTAAAAGTAAATTTCCAGAATGCCAGTTAAATACATCTCTGTCCAGATTCTTGAAAGGAAAGGCAGATGCTTTGAGTCCAAGAGAGGAAAGAAGGAGATATATATACACAAAACCTTTTCTTAAGTCCTTGAATCTGTGCTTGTTTATGTGCACGTGCACATGTTTTGAAGTTGAAGAAGATGGCTAGGTGATTGTAGGGTAAAATGACTGTAAAGAACTCAATTATACCTCAGTTTTCTTCTTTCAGTCTAAAGTCCTATAAGGATATGACCCAGCTGATCGGTTTCATAAAGCAACTAAAGATACCTATATTAGGTTACTAGGTTTTTTTCTTTTCTTTTTTTTCTTTTTTTGGTTATTGGATTTCTACAATTAATTTTACTTAAATCCAACACTATTAATTACTATTGGCCATTTACTGGAGCATAGACATAGCTTTATTACGTATAATAGTCTCTTTTATTGAGACTGTTGTTGTTGTTGTTATTATTATTGAACTAGAACAGTAATAAGTATTTCTTTCTTCTTCATAGGGTTACTCCCATTGCGTTGATGTTTATATAAAGCAGTGCCAGGAGGTAACATAACAGTGTACTTTATTGGATTTTATTTTATTTTATGCTAATTTGTGTTTTTAAAAAGATTCAAAAATTATATATTCATTATGTAAAATTCTTCTGTTGTTTAGGGTGCTTACTTAAGAAATGATATATTTGAAGATGCAGCAATACTCTGTCAACGGGTGAACAAACAAGTTGGAGATATCTTTAGTAATCCAGAAACAGTACTGGCTAAACTTATTCAAAATATATTTGAACTCAAACTACAGGTAATTTAAAAAATGACTAAGTAGTTCTTAAGGTAATATGTGATTTTTTTCTTTGTTTTAAGTTTTTTAAAATTTAATTTACTTGTGTAATACCCTTAGGAATAATAATCCACTTATTCAGTGTTAGGGAAAGGAATGACAGTGTCATGCTTAAAAAAATTTTTTTTGTTGTTCACCAAGAAAAAAGGTGCTAATCACTAAATATCATCAGAGTGTGTGAAATTTGTGTATCAGTAGTAGTAGTAGTAACAGGTTGTGGTAGGGTAGCCTCAGAATTTGATTTTTATTGCATTCTTACCTTGACAAATAGATAGTATTTGTGAAATTGTACACAAGTTGCAAGCTTAATCTGTAGAATTTTTTTATAATATGATACTAGCCTGAAATGAAAAAACACAGGAATTCCATTTACAACCTTGACTTCCATAGCTCTGTGCTTTAAGTCAACATTTCCTAAAGTTTGTTTACTGGTCAATGGAGCAACATTAAATAAATGTTTGCTTTTAAAACAGTACATGACATTTAATAGGCTTTACAGATACTAATATGTATTGTGACTCTCTAGAAGTGGAGGTGTGATGTACAGCATTTCCTAACTTTAGAGTAATAATGCCTGTTAATGTCTCAAGGGATGCCAGTGTTACCCAGACTACAGTTTGGGAAACGCTACTTTAAGGAATTGGCTATATCAGTGTAGCCTCAGGTTTTGTTTTGGGATTCTTTTTCTTTTTTTCCAATGTTCTTCATGAGGCAGGATAGGCCAGTTTCAAAAGAAAAGATATTTTGAAATTCTTAATGCTTATTCCCAACACTTATGTGAATGTACAAGTAAATACGATAAACAGTAAAAATTAAAAACATTTTCTTATTTTTTTTATATTGGTCTGTTTTCTTTTTCTCTCTTGTGTGAATCCACAAATTTTTATTTTCTACTAGCAGAGTATACGATAGTCTAATGTAAGATACCATCAATAATAAGAATTTAGAACATTCCAGGTGACCATAAGTAGTATGAATTCGTTTTTACAGTACAAACACGAATTCTCAGTACACCAATGGTCACAATTAACAGTGAAAATTAGAGAGAGATGGTGGCTTTTTAAAAAGTTTGTTTTAAGTCAGTTTCTTGAAGTATCCTTTCTGTGTAATAAAATTATCTTTTTAAGATGTACAGTTTGATAAGTTGATGTTGATCTGTTTTCTATGTATTACCTTTTCCATTGGATTTTAAGTCAGAACAGTTAAAGAATGTGGAATAATTCTAGTAAAAAAAATACTGACTATATAATTTAATATTTACTCAATTGACAGAATGTTGATTTTTTATTTCAGAGTTTTGTGAAAGACCAGTTAGAAGAATGTAGAAAGTCCGATGCAGAGCAGTATCTCAAAAATCTCTATGATTTATATACAAGGTACATTTTTAGTAGAAAATAACATTTTCTTTTTTTTTTCCAAATAGAAAATCAGAGTATTCAGGTGTTTTTGAATTAGTTTGTCAGAGAGCAATATACCTTTTAGCATTAAATACGTGGCTGTATAGTGTTGTATGCAACCAGCATTCTTAATCTGTTAACTTAAGAAATTGAATATTGTGCTTTATATTAATGTACTTTAATGAAACATAAAACCTTGTTTAAACTGACACTCAGGAATTTTTTTTCTGATTTTAATTGTAAGCTAATTCACTATTTAATTTTTTTTTCTTTAAGAACGAGTATAATTGCATTTATTTGTGGTTAAAACTTTAGAAATTGAAAAAGGGAGTGACAAATTCTTAACAAATGACAATTTCAGAGTTAAGTCTGATGTGAGAATTTGTCCAGTGCTTTTGTAAACGGCAGTGTTATACCTCATAGAAGCTTCATATGGAGTGTTTTTCTAACTGTTACAACTACTCTTCAGTGTCATCATTTTGAGAGGAAGGTTTTCAAAAGTAACTGTAATCAATAAGTCCATCTCAACAACAGCACTATTGTGAGCCTGTCTTCAACAATAAGAAACAGAAAACTGAAGGATAGTCTAGGTATACTTCTCAGTATTTTTGACTTGGATTCCACGTCATGAATGGCATACGTGAAGCTGTTCTGCCACTGTTGCCATTTCTAGACTAGTTGGTTGCCTCAGTTTCCTAAGTCATCTCTAGGAGTTTATGGCAGTTTTTAGAACCATAATGTGGTTTGTAATATCCAGTCTAGTTAATATATATCACCCTGTAGAGCTAATTTCTGCATCCTAGGTAACTTCCCAAGGTTTAAAAAATAGTGTTTTAACATAAGTTATTAAAAAGTCACGTTGTAAAAGTAATTATTCCTTAACATTGTTACTATACCTAAAGTATACATTAATCTTTTTTTCCTCCTTTCCCATGAAAAGAACCACAAATCTTTCCAGCAAGTTGATGGAATTTAACTTAGGTACTGATAAACAGACTTTCTTGTCTAAGCTTATCAAGTCCATTTTCATTTCCTATTTGGAGAACTACATTGAGGTGGAGACTGGATATTTGAAAAGCAGAAGTGCTATGATCCTACAGCGCTATTATGATTCAAAAAACCATCAAAAGAGATCCATTGGCACAGGAGGGTAAGTGTTTTTCTTAAATGTTATAGTTAAAACTAAAGATATTTAAAACTTTATTACGTTTGGACAGTCTTGTGAAATATTGATAGTCATTAGAATTTTCTCTGAAGAATTTTTTTAATTCAGTTTGTTTACACTCTTCATCAAATCCTGTATCTTGAGCCAAATCTTGAAATGATCTAACATAACATGATTAAAATGTAAAGCAGAATACCAGCACCATAAAGGGTTCTGTAGATCGTTCCTTCCTTCCCCTTCTTCTCCCCCCTTCCCTCCTCTCCCCCTCCCTTTCCTACCTTCCCTTCCTTCTTTCAGACTGAGTAAATTATTCCAAATTATTAACTAGGAAGTACATCATTTTCTTGCTGCTGTTGCAGGTGTGGTGTAAAAAAAAAAAAACAGCAAATAGACAGTTCCCAGTTTTGGTACCCTGAGCTTTTTAATGACTTAGGCATACAGTTATTTAATTAATACATTAAAGCCTACATTTACTCACATACTAGAAGAAAATAATTTGCTGTAAGAATTGGTGACAGCTCAGTTATCCAGAACTCAGCTATCTGGAACTTGGTAGATTCTAGGATGAAGCAGAATGACTTCTGTGGTGCCATAAAATCAGAGTTGACAGTTCGCATACATATATACCCAAATCAGTTTCTTGTTTCCCAGCTTTTTGTATACTAAATAATGATCATAGATACATTATAATTAGGAATGAGAAGTGAAATTTGAAAGGCAGCAGCAAGTAAAGAAGGAGAAAAACTAGAGAACAATCATAATTTTTTAAAAAATTAGTTCACACTCTGGAGCTGTATATTTCCAGGAGCAAAAAAATTGAGCCTAAAGATACCTAAAGATAATAAATGTCCTTAATGACCCTCAGTCATTGAGAAAAGCTGAATTATATAGAATAGAATATATCTTGTTAATACTAATGAGGAAATATGCAGTATATTTAAATGGTTAGTATATTTACAAAGGCTTAAAATTTTACATTGTTTTAATGAGGACCATTTAGTTATTTGGAATATTAACTTATTTGGAAAAGCTCACTTCCTAAGGAAACCAAACAAGGCATTTTGGCTGTTGAGTCAGAATTGTAGAGCTGAAAGAGACTTTAGAGATCGTAACTTCAAATCTACTCATTTTCTTCCAATGAAAGTCTTCTGTTTAGAGAATGCTTGCTTCACTTTACAGAACTACTTATTGAAATTAGAATTTTTGGTCTCCTGGCTATTGGTCCATTTTTCTGTCTTTTTTTTTTTCCTTAGTTCATGTATACTAAGTTTGAGAGTACTTGAAATTGAAATCTATGCATAGTAAAGTGTTCTTTTTTCATTTGTTGGTATGATGCACTAGTATTCAAGATTTAAAAGAGAGAATTAGACAACGTACCAATTTACCACTGGGACCAAGTATCGATACTCATGGGGAGACTTTCCTATCCCAAGAAGTGGTGGTTAATCTTTTACAAGAAACCAAACAAGCCTTTGAAAGATGTCATAGGGTAAGAGTAATTGTAAATTTATTTAATTTCTATATGGTTGTATATTTTAATTTTTGCCTTGTTTACACTAAGGTGTAACTCTGCTCTCTGGTTAGAAATAGCTATTTATTATAGTTAAAAAAATAGGATTTTTGTTTTGGGGAACAGAATTATTTTAAAATTATTTAGAAGTATATTTTAATATAAGTTTTAAAGTTGAGCATATCAAACTTACCTATTGATGGCAGTTTAGATTGGCTCCAGTGTTTGACTATTACAAATGAAGGTGCTGTGAAAATTCATGAAACAGACGTATGTTTTAATTTCTCCAGGGTATATGCTGAGTAACGATACGATGTCGTATGGTAATTCTTTTTAAGAAACTGCCAAACTGTTTTCCAAAGTTGTGGTTTAATTTAACATTCCCACCAGCATTGTGTGAAAGAGTTCCATTTGTTCCACATGATTTCCAACATTTGATATGATCAGTCTTTTTAATTTTAGACAGTCTGATAGGGTATGTATTGATACCTTATTATGGTTTTAGTTTGCATTTTCTCAATGACTAGTGATGAGCATCTTTTCATGTGTTTATTTGCCATCCATGTATATATTATTTGGTGTATTTTGTGTGCATTTTTAAAAATTGAGTTGTCTGTTTTCTCATTTTTTGATAGTTCTGTATCTATTTAAAATTCATTTATCAGATAAGTGATTTGCAAACATTTTCTTTTGGTCTGTGACTTGTCTTTTCCATATCTAAAGAGTATTTCAGAGAATAGAAATTCTTAATTTTGATGATACCCAATTTAACACTTTTCTGTTACAGGTGATATTTTTGGTATCATATTTAAAGAATCTTTGCCTAACCTAATGTCACAAAGATTTCTTCTTATATTTTCTTTCTTTCTGTTTCCAGTTTTCTTTTTTTTATTTTAAAAGTAATTTATTCAATTTTAAAAAGATGCTTTCCATTTACAGTTATTACAAAATATTGGATATATTCCACATGTTGTGCAGTACATACCTGAGCCTGTTTTACACCTAGTAGTTTGTACCTCCCACTCGCTCACCCCTATATTTCTCCCCAGCCCTGTAACCACTAATTTTCTGTATCTATGATTCTGCTTCTTTTTTGTTATATTCATTAGTTTATTGTATTTTTTTAGATTCCATGTATAAGTGTCTGTCTGATTTATTTCACTTAGCATAATCCCTCCAAGGTCATCCATATTGCTGCAGATAACAAATTTTCATTCTTTTTTGTGGCTGGGTAGTATTCCATTGCGCGCACGCACACACACACACACACACACACACAGCAATAATTTTTGGGATCTGTCTTCTCAGGCAAATATATATATACCACATCTTCTTTATCCAATCATCTGTTGAAGGACACTTAGTTTGTTTCCAAATCTTGGCAATTATAAATAAGGCTGTTATGAATATTGGGGTGCATATATCTTTTTGAGTTAGTGTTTTTGTTTTTGGATATATACCCAGAAGTAGAACTGCTGGATCATATGGTACTTCTCTTTTTAGTTTTTTCAGGAACCCACATACTGTTTTCTATAATGACTGTACCAATTTACATACCTACTAACATTGTAGTAGGGTTCCCTTTTCTCCACATCCTTTCCAACATTTGTTGTTTGTAGATTTTTTGATAACAGACATTCTGTATGAGGTATGAGGTGATAATCTCATTATGGTTTTGATTTGTGTTTCTCTGATGATTTGTGATGTTGAGCATCTTTTCATCTACTATTTGTATATTGTTGGATTAGGTTTGCTAAACTTTGTTAAGGATTTTTGTGGTTGTGTTCTTGAGGGATATTGACTTATACATATTTTTTCTTTTCCTTTTAATGTCTTAGTGTAGTTTCTGTATCAGGGTAATGGGCCTCATAGAATGAGTTGGAAAGTATTCCTTCCTCTTCAATTTTCTGGAAGAGTTTGTGTAAAATTGGTATTATATCTTCCTTAAATGTTTGATAGAATTCACCAGTGTAGTCATTTGGGCCTGCAGTTTTTTTTTGGTGAGAGTTTTTAACTACAGATTCAACTTCTTTAGTAGATACAGAGCTATTTATCTGTTTCTTTTTAAGTGAGCTTTGGTGGTTTGTGTCTTTTAAGAATTGTTGAATTTATTGGGATTAAGTTGTTCATGGTATTGCCTTATCCTTTTAATATCTATGCAATCTATAGTGATATCACCTATTCATTCTTGATATTGATAATATGTATCTTTTTTTGGTTATTCTGGCTAGAAGTTTATCTGTTTTATTGACTTTCTCAGAAAATTGGCTTTTGGTATTAGTGATTTTTCTGTTTTTCTATTTGTATTTCATTGATTTCTACTCTTTGTTACTTCTTTTCCTTCTGCTTACTTGAGTTTAATTTACCCCTCTTTTTCTAGTTTTTCTAAGATGGAAACTGAGGTCATTGATTAGAGACCTTTCTTATTTTCTAATATAGGCATTTAGTCTTATAAATTTCCCTTTAAGATACTGCTTTAGCTGCATACCACAAATTTTAATTAGCTGTGTTTATTTTTATTCAGTTCAGAATCTTTTAAATTTCCTTTTTGATTTCTTTTGGCCCAAGAGTGGTTTAGAAGTGTGTTATTTCATTTTCAGATATTAGGGGATTTTTTAGATATCTTTCTGTTATTGATTCAAATTTGATTCTCTTATGATTGGAGGACATACTTTGTATGATGTGAATCCATTTAAAATTTTTCTAAACTTGTTTTTTAGCTCAAATACGATCCATCTTGGTGAATGTTTTATGAATACTTTAAGAGAATATATATCCTGATGTTTTTGGATTGTGTATTCTATAAATGTCAGTTAGGCCCAGTTGATTGAAATTGATGTTCGTGTCTTCTGTATCCTTGCCAGTTTTCAGTCTACCTTTTTTATCAATCATGCATTCATGTTTGGATGTAAAGACGAATGTGAAAAATTAAATTTATTCTTTGTGGCTTGTTAAGGGCATCTGTTAAGCATCAGTGAGCAAAAGAAGGGGTGTGAGGGTTGTGGTAGAGAGACTGATGAAGAGTAAAGGTTCGGGTGGTATTAAGAAGACCAGGAAGGGAATTGAATAAAACCAAATTAGTATTTATAATCAGTGGAGATTTAGGGGATTTAAAGTGGGTTATACACTTCAACCCGCAGCTGTGTATATCAGATAACTACTCTGAGAGAGTGCATGAATAGAGGCTACATATAGTCAACAATCAATTGATAAATAATATAGGAAGCAGATGTAAGAAGTTGAGGAGTGATTTTCTAACTTTTTAAGAGAGATTTATTTTTCTCAGCATAACTACTAATAATTCTTTTACTGAGTAATTAATCAGCAACAGCAACATTAACATCAAAATGAACATTTATTGCTGTGAACCTATTATGTGTCAAACACCATGCTAAAAATGCTTTAGATGCATTTTCATATTTTATGCTCACATCAAGGCTAGGATGTAAATACTATTAATATTATTCCTACCTTGCAGATGAAGAAGTTGAGGCTTGGGGGGTTATATAACATCTCAAGGGTTCACTCAGCCAAGAAGTGATGAAGGTGGGATGTGAGCCTGTTATATATTTTAGTGCATCCATTATTGATTTCCCCACCCCCACCCTCCAATAAATAAAGGATCTTTTTTGTTTTAAGTTTTGCTAGAATAGCCTTTGTTCAGTTAGTTGGTGGCTCTCAAACTTCTTTGACCCTGTCCCACTATAAGAAATACACTTTACGTGGCCGTCGAGTGTGCATTTATTATATGTATATGTGTGTGTGTAATGTTTTATGTATTTCAGGGAGACTACATTGGTTTTAATGTGTACATTAGACTTTATTTTCTATTGGTTCTCTCTTCTCTCTTTTTTTCTTGTCAAAGTCCACTAATGGATTGCATTCCAGGTCAGAAAAACATTGATTCAGTCTAAGCCAGGAGAGTTGTAGACAAATATGGAGCATTGTAACTATATGTATATGATAAAGGCATTTGGCATGGTGCGAAAGAGGTTTAAGTTATTATTTTGATAGCTGAATACTGATTATGTCTTATACAAAGTTGATTGCTTAAAAAAAAAGTTGCCTTTTTTTAAAGGTAAACTGAAGTTTTTTGTTTTTAAAGCTCTCTGATCCTTCCGATTTACCAAGGAATGCCTTTAGAATTTTTACCATTCTTGTGGAATTTTTATGTATTGAGCATATTGATTATGCCTTGGAAACAGGACTTGCTGGTGAGTATATTTGTTTGTGTTATACTTTGTGTTAAATTCCTTTGATCCTATTTGGTTAAACTGTATGCATAATGTTTTATATATATTCAACTTGATGTGTCAAAAATCAGTTCAGTGCAGTGAAATGCTTTTTGAGCTTCTGTAATGCAAGGATTTGTCAGATGCTGAAAGCTAAACAAAGACAATTTTCATATTGCTTACATTGAACAGGGCAGGATAAGCTACTAAGTCACTACAGTGTATGGCAGAATGTAGTGTACAATGCTGTAAGTTATGAAATGTCAAGGCGGTGGAAATGAATCTGATGGCAATTCTGGTTGAGGCAATTGAGTCATGTAAGATTTAAAAAGAAAAATCTTTCAAAATAAACTTGGAAAGGAATAGGTTCATAAAATTTTTTTTCTTTCACTTTTGGTCTTTTGGGTTTACTGGTATTCATAGAATAATAATGATTTCTTCCCTAAATTTCAGACCCATTGATCCATTTGCCCCCTTAACCTCTCACCTGTTCTGTGTGCATTTCAAATTTAATATATCCCAAATGAAATTCTTTATCTTCCACCTAGACCTCTTCCTCTCCCATTCTTCCCTTTAAAAGGCTTTAGTATTTGCTGAAGTCCCAAACCCAGGAGTTGCCATAATTCATCTTTTTATCAAACCTGATGTCCAGTCTATCAGCACATCCTGTCTGTATTCCAAACTTAGCTCAAATTCATCTACTTTTTTCCAACTCCGCTGATGCCACCCTGATTTAAACATCATCATCTCTTTCCACTTCTGACTGGTCTCTTTGTATGCTCTTGCCTCTCCAGATAACTGACTCTGTGTAACAGTCATGTTATAAATCTAAGGGTCTTAAATTTTCTTACTTAAGACCCTTTAGTGGCTTCCAATTACTCTTTGGGGAAAAACAACAACAAACTCTTTACAAAAGCATGGCTTTTGATCTGGCATCCTCTTATATATTCATCCTCATCTCATATTGCATTTCCTGTCACTACCCCAGCCACTTTGGCCCTCATTCTTTTAACCCAATCAGGCTCTTTGTGCTTGGTGTTTCCCTCCCCCACAGTCCTTTTCCTTCAGCTCTTTCCATGTCTGGCTTTTCAATCTTCTGATCTTAAAATTAACTAAGGTGCCACCTTTTTAGAGAGGCTTTTGCTGGTTGACCTAACTTAAGCGACCCTTCTCTCCCAGCCTAGTTACTCATTATTTCATCATTGAATTAATTTTTTTTCACAGCACTTGTTACAATGAAACTTTCATCTGTTAATGTTGTTCTCACTCACCAGAATTCATTTTTTCTACACATACTTACTAAGTGCCTATTCTTGTACTCACGGAACTTACATTCTTGTGGAAAAGATAGACAAATGACTAGTAAGCACAATGAATTAAAAAAAAATGAGTAAGGAATGGAGAATAGTAATAGGAGGTAGGATGGGGAATTCAGGGGCAGAGGGCTTTTTTAGAAAGGACAGTAAATACCATATGAGATCGCTCATATGTGGAATCTAAAAGAAAGAAAGAAAGAAAAAGACAAATGAACATAAATACAAAACAGAAACAGACTCATAGACATAGAATACAAACTTGTGGTTGCCAAGGGGAAGGGGTGGGAAAGTACAGACTGGGAGTTCGAAATTTGTAGATGCTGACAGGCATATGTAGAATAGATAAACAAGACTATACTGTATAGCACAGGGAAATATATACAAGATCTTGTGGTAGCTCACAGTGAAAAAGAATGCGGCAGTGAATGTATGTATGTTCATGTATAACTGAAAAATTGTGCTCTACGCTGGAAATTGACACAACATTGTAAACTGACTATAACTCAATAAAAAAGAAAAAGAAAGGATGGTAAGAGAAGGCCTCTGAGGAGACATGAACGGGAGAGCTGAATGAAGTGAAGGAAACAGAATATTTGGAGAAAGCATGCTTTAAGTAGAGAGAAAGAGCATGTAGGTTCTTTTAAGTAGGAATCTTACCTGTCTTAATTGCCATTATTGTCTAGCATCTAGGAAGCATATAGCAGATGCTCAAAAAGTTTGACTATACGTAACATCATTCCATACAGTTTCTAACATTGATGCAAACTTACCCATAATTTAGTAACCTTGTGGTTTATTCTTAGACACATTCTTTCACCTAGTTGCTCTCATGATGTAGATAAGCGTTTGTAGCTTGCTTCCCCCTCCGCCTTACACAAGATACTTGACATCAAGTATTTAACATTGGCCATTTGCAAATAACCCACTATGGTCATTTGTACTGGGATAATAATACCCACCTCAAAGATGTGAAGATTAAAGAAGAAGATAAAAAGTAACATGAATTTGAATCCATATGTTATGAGGGATTTTTTCTTTAGCTAGTGTGGAAGCTTAGCTTCTTCATTTTAATAGCAGTATTCACAATTTGGAAGGGCTTAGGAAATTTTCTGGTAGGGTGAGAATGTCCCGTATACTTGTAAGTGTTTTCCATGAAGCTATTCAGTTAGTACTTACTGCTGTTGTTTCTAATGATTGTATAAACTTCTGTCATGCTTATATATTAGAGAGTTCACTATTCTCCATTATTAGACATCTTGGTCTTTTCAGCAATTTAGTGATATAAATAATGCTATAGTGAATATTGTAGAGCTTAAAGTGTTTTTCTTATTTTGAATTATTTTCTTTGGATAAAATTCTGAAAGTGGAATTATCAGATTAAAGTGTGTTACAAATTTTGAAAATTTCTGTAAGTATAAACTGTTTTCCTGAAGGGTTTTTTCCCACTAATTTACACTGCTACTGGCATGTGTGATTGTACCAGTTTTTCTGCACATCGCTTAATAGTCTTTAAAAACTTTAATAATTTAGTAGTTAAAAACATTTGTAACGGTTGCCTTTTCATGTCTTTCATTAATATAGCAAGGATTAGTATTTTCTACATGTGTATTGACTTTATTTTTTTCTCTTGTAAGTTTGTGTTGGAGCCTTTAATTTTCTTACCAATTGATGATTTTGTCGTTTGTGGGAAAATAAAATACCTTTGTTTTCCATTTTGAAAACTTTGAAAAAAATCGTCATCCTGTAAAGACCTCTACGTATTAAACTTTTATTTTCTCATTTTCTGTGACTATTTTTCCTCGCCCCTCATGCCCTTTAATGTTAGCTAGAAACATAAACATCTGGTTGGTAGGGACCTTAGAGTTTAATCTCTAACAAAAAAAGAGGCAACTGAACTCTGGAGAGGTCAGCTGTCTGTTTTGGGGTCAGGATGTAGAGTGACCTGAATACAGTGCTGAAAATCAGGAATTTATTCTGTTAACAGTAAAGAGACTTTGAATATTTTTGAGGAAACAGTGGAGAACATGGTGAATGAAATATGTTAAGTTTAACTACGTTATTATGGCAACAATATATAACATAGAAGATAGGGATATTTGAACCAGGATGCTAATAAGAAAATTATTTTAACTGTTATCAGAGATAATAAGGCCTAGTGATAAGAAAAAATAGTAGAAGTGTATTCATGGCTTATGTGAATCATTGGGCATAAGAAGGTGGGAAAGGGAAGGAGAAGGTATAGTCCAAGATGATTCATTTATTGATTTTTTTGTTTGTTTATCTCAGCAATTGAGACTTGAGTAGATGGTGAAAATTGGGCATAAAAATTTTGGATGAATTTTATTAAATTATTAGCAAGCTTAATTTTACTCTTTGTCTGTAAAGATAATTGATATAACAGTTAATTTTTTTCATGTTGCATACATAAAACCACATTCTTTTTTCTGTTGCTAAGATGAATTTCTTCAAGTATGATTCTAACATATAACGTGCCTTCCAACTTTAGGAATTCCTTCTTCGGATTCTAGGAATGCAAATCTCTATTTTTTGGATGTTGTGCACCAGGCCAATACTATTTTTCATCTTTTTGACAAGCAGTTTAATGATCACCTTATGCCACTAATAAGGTTTGTCAAATTATCTGGTTTTTATTGGTATTTTAATGATTATTATAGTTTATATATCTTTTTGTTAAATTTTTAAAGTAATACATGTTCATTAAAATGTCAAACAGGACAGGAGGATGTGAAATAAAAAGCCAAAAAAAATCCTTTACCTTCTTCCTTGCCTTCCTATTTTCTTTTCCTACTATAGTATTAATTTTGGTTTATTTGAAAAGATTGAATGTGTCAGAAGTCTAAATCTGATATGAAAGAGGACCTCTTGCTTTTACCCATTTGTTATAATAAAGAGAGGTACAACAAACATTTTATGAGATTGTAGGATGGATTTTGATGAGGCATTAAGTAAGGTTTGGTTTATATCTTCCTATCAATTTATGTGAACTTTTAAAGCATGTGAGGATTAAATAAGGTAGTTTATGTGAATATGCTTTATAAAGTTGTATGTATAGTACTATTATTAAGAGGGAAAATATTCACATAAAAGATAAAATTCTAGACATTTTGTTGTAAACATTGGCATGCCAAGAAATTATTAGTCTAGAAACAGTCTCAAAGATGAAGACCTCTTGTGATCCCTGAATCACATTTTGAATTTTACTTTTTAAAATAAACTCTAATGCCACACGTAAAGAATTCACATTCCTATTAGGGTTGTATATTTCTTAATATTTTGGGTATTTTTTTGACATTTAGGTAACATTCAGAAGGCATATATGACTACCACGTTTTTTTGGTTGTTTTGTTTTGTTTTTTAATGTAGGCAAGCTAAATACAACTGGATTGGGCATTAGTCTCCAAATTTTAATTAGTGTAACTTACTACATTCTCAAGACTCTGTGAGTTTTCTTACTATTATACAGAAATTTAGTTAAATTTAATTAAAAGGAAACCAAGTAATTCCAGAATTTCAAAATCACATGTTTATGTTCTAAAGGGATATCTCCTCAGAGATGAACGTAGTAAGTCTAATAAATCTTCCTCTTCCTTCTCTTTTAACTGGTTTATTTTTCCTAGTGTGACTAGTGTAATGAATTGGGCATAGTGAATACTAAATAGTTACTTTACTATTTATGTGCTTCTTGGATTTGTGAGCAAATTAATCTGTGTGTATGTATATATGACAGTATACATATGCATATGAAAAACTTTTAGAATTCTAAGATGACTGATGTGATTTTTTTTTCCCCTTTAAACACTCAATAGCTCTTCTCCTAAGTTATCTGAATGCCTTCAGAAGAAAAAAGAAATAATTGAACAAATGGAGATGAAATTGGATACTGGCATTGATAGGCAAGTTGTTAGTTTTACTATTTCTCTTGCATTTTTTTAAATTGTAGAAACACCATTATAGCAACATGAAAATAATTTTCAGAGAAGAAAAAAGTATTTTAATTCCACCATCCTGCTATAAGGCTCAATTTTATTTTTACATACTGCTTTCATCCTTACTAGAGTATTATTTTTATTGGATCCCAGGTTTATTACTTTCAGAAATCAGTATGTTTAGATTTATGTTTAAACCAGATTCCATTTAAAATTGTAAATGCCCCCTACACACACACACACACACACACACACACACACACACACACACACACACACACACACACACACACTCTCTCTCTCTCTCTCTCTCTCTCTCTCTC